TAGATTACAAGTTGCTTAGAGGTGAAGATTTTTGTTTATCTTTGTATCATTGTGACATAGTGCCGGACCTAGAGAAGCCACGGCTTTTCTATACAGGCAAGATACTTTAAGTATGGTGCAGAGAGTGTGTGATATCTCTTTGCTACTCATATTTTTCTTACTATCTTATTTTCTGCTGAGTTCTGGATAACTGAAGTATTATGGCATTTCATATTTAACAAAACCTAATCATATTGCATAATAAACACTATTTGATAACTACTATAGCATAGAGTAGAAAAATAGATTCACTCAGATGGTGATAAAAACTAACATATATTGAAGGCTAATTATATGCTGAGTAATATTTTAAAAGCTTCGCATATACTAACTTGTTTAATCCTCACAACAGCCCTATAAGAAAGTGGCTCTTATTTTGTTCCTTTTGCATTTGAAGAAATTGTGGCAGAGAGAAATAAGTAATTTATGTTAGGTTGTACTCTAGTGAGTGTTGAGATGCCCTTTGAACCCAGGTACTGTGGCTCCCAAGTCACTTCTCTTCAGCTCTAGCTATTCACTTTTGATAAATACTATGCAATTGATTTTTTAAAGACCTTTATACTTTTCAAGTAACAAAATCCTTTCCATCTAAATGCAACTTTTTAAAATTCCACAAGCTGGCTTACTGCTGTACACGCTACACAATTAAACATGTCTCAACCCTCTACTAACTTCAGTGATAAATAATATTTCTGCTTTATGGTATGCATGACAAATTCTTTCTTTATCTTCTATGAAATTGCAAGACTTTGGATGAATACACTAACATATCTCTGCATGGTAGAGTGGGGGAGGGGTGAAAACCGGGAAAATAAATTACTCTAACAATGTATTTTGGCAGTGTAATGGTCCATTTCCAGCAAAGAGCAAAATAGACATTACGTGACATGCTCCTATTTGAGATAATCTTTTAAGTTTAGTGATGATTAGCATCCAAATAAATCAATATGAACAAAATTTAAGAATAAAAAGATAACAAAAACACATTTAATTGTCCTTTCTATCAAAAGGAATACATTTGTTATTTATAACTACAAAGAATCATGCTAATTTTCACAAAAGACTTAAGATTCAACATATTCAGCAGCAACAGATTCACATAACAACCCGTGAAATGCACAAATAAAAATCTACATTAAAAGAACATTAGAGGCCAGACTGAAACAGAGAGAAATGGAAAAATTCAGAGTAAATGTCTTGCTAGGTAACCAATTCAACTTTAAGAGCCATCTGGTAGCTTTTCATGCTCCATATCCACTGTCCTCCACCACTGTAGACACGGACATGGTTTTTGGTCCCCTAATTAGGTGAAATCAATGTGGAATGTTAGGGCAGTCCGCACAACCATTCACATTCTGGTTTTTGACAAGGTATTTCCTATTGATGATTAAGTTTTGAAAGGATCTTTTACCAAAGGGAGTCAGTATGTTGTTCACTTTATGAATTTCTGTCTTATTTACTAAATCTTAACTTCATAATAAATATCTACCCCTGGGCAATCAAAAGAATAAATACCATTGTTGCTTTCTAGATGGAGAAATTTTGACATACAGATATGAATTTAGAAAGCCGTCTCCTTCAAAGGATTTCTCTAATTTGGTCTAAGTGATCTCCCTGGTAATATTCTAGGCTGTGAGGTTTCCCCATGTCTTTAGCCTTTGCCTATTCATTTGTCCCTGTCCACCCACTCTTCAAGAATCACATGCTCACTTCAAACTCCAAATAAGGAAAAATAAATTACCTCAGAGGCTGGGTGTGGAGCCTCACACCTGTAATCCTAGTACTCTGGGGAGCCAAGGTGGAAGGATCACTTGAGCTTAGAAGTTCCAGATAAACCTGAGCAAGAACAAGACCCTGTTTCTACTAAAAATAGAAAAATTATCTGGGTGTGGTGACACATGCCTGTAGTCCCAGTTACTCGGGAGGCTGAGGCAGGAAGATCACTTGAGCCCAGGAGTTTGAGGTTGCAGTAAGCTATGATGATGCCACTACACTTTACCCAGGGCGACAGAGTAAGACTGTCTCAAAAAATAAATAAAAAACAAATTCCCTTGCACACCCAATAACCCATGTATAACACATATACACTCACAAAAGGAGATGAAGTGAACCAGAACACTAAACATATCAAGGAAGGTGTCCCATTCCAAGGACCCCAATGCCTGAATACTCAGTGCTTTCTTCTTGATTTATACATCTCTTTGGAGAGTTAACTTGAAGACTGAGTTTCTGAAGGGAAGAGTCTACTGTTCCTCCTCACACTAAATGCCTCTCGCACTAAAATATTCCTGAAGTGGATTTTTGTTGGTCTGGTTACAAGGGCATGGAAAGCTCTTAGAAGTGCTGAATGTCCACCTCTCTTTTACTGTCTTTGTATCCAGACCATCATCATGCATTCACGTGGAGAGGTAAAGGTCACCTGCTGCAATCCTTGGTTGGGAATAAGCTCATGAATGGGAATGTGTTGATGGTGAGAGAGAAGTTAGCAGAGGTTAGGAAAAGTAACCCTGGCTTACCTAAAAAGGAGCCCTGATAACACTCAGCTGGTAGCCTTAATTTGGGCAATGGTTCAGCTCTTTATATAACCTTATAAGTTTCATTGTATGCTGTTTAATCTTACTTTGAGGTGTTTAGAAAAATTTCTTAGTAGATTAGTACAGAGAAAGAACACTGAATGATATTTAATACTGTAACTTTGTATATGAGTAACCATCTGCTTTTAAAGGTCCATCAGCTGCTTGGATGCTGTTCCCTTAGTTAAAGTTACATTGCCTTAAGTTTAAATAACTTTTCCTTCCCAGGGTGATTGATCATATGCCCTGGTTTGCTCAGCCCAGTCCTGGATCACATTAGTGTACTAGCATCCTGTCTACTCTCTTTAAGTCTCAAAAGTCTATAGTTTGGACAATAAATTTTATGTCCACTCTATCCAAAGGGGAACTAAGCAGAGATAAAAAACTTTTCTCTGCAATGCTTGAAAAGGGAAAGCTAAGAAAAAGGCAATTACTAGATTACAAAAGAGACCCTAGTTTAGAATTTGAGGATATCTTCTTTAAGGAAGGAATGTTTGAGATGTAAAAGTTAGGGCAAGAGTTAGACAGAAGGGATTTTCTCAGCTCTTGCATTTGCTAATATCAGGAGCCTGAGACAGTAAGAAAGGAGGCTAATTTTAGGAACAAAAGAAAGGTCAATGTCTCTGAGGTATGTTGAGTGAAGAGTGTTGTGAGAATTTAGAAAAGTCAGCAGGGTTATGAACAATAAGTCTTAGAGGCCATGTTAAGGATTTCCAAATTCATTTAATGGATAATAAAAAGGAAATGGTTGCAATAGTTAAGTAGGAATGACACTTTATTGTATCTGCTTCTTATTTTAAAAAAATATTCTGTCATCTGTGTGGATAATGGGTTAGGGTTGGGGTTAGGTGCATGAATATCAAGGGAAGTGTGCAGTCCTTCCTAGCAAGCGAAAGTGATAGCCATGTTGAGAGATTGAAGAAACTTAGCCATTGCGTTGACAGTAGAGAGAAGAAAACTGTTGTGTCTTTTTTCAGAAAACTATTTTTTAAGAATCAACAGAACTAAAACTTGAGAAAAAAAATTTTTTGCCCTGAATGGTTCTGCTCATATTAAAGCAAACAGACATCTAGAAATCATCTCCATAGACAGATGAACAATTTTATTAATGTTTCCAATACTCTTAATAAGTTTTGCCTCTTATTGCTAAGAGGGCACCATCTGAGAAGGAATGTGGCCTGATGTTTGCACAGGGCAGATCAGTGTAATGTGAAGGACGGGGCTCCAGGAGTGGAAGGTCTGCTTGGTAACAGAGCCCATCCTGAGGAGGGAGAGAATAACCAGACTGCATCCATCTCTGAGCACCCGCCCCCTTTCTAAATCTTATTAGAGAGTCAATCTAGGACTGAAGGGAGAAGCAATTTTGCTGTCCTAACAATTTAACACTCAAGTGAACTCGGATGAATTTACAATACCATCTACTTCTGTTTACAAATTAGTATCTAAATGTTATCAATTTTGCAAGAATTTGGATCTTATCTTGAAGATACAATAAAACTAAGTCACACACACAAATATTCTCTATAATTTGAGAAACCTGAATGTCAGCATTTTTAATGTACACAGCTAAAATAAATAAATAAATAAATAAATGTACCTGTATAGTCTTGCATATGCAAAGAGTTCCTAAGGAAATTATACTTGATATTTTGGGTTTTCACTTCTGAGAAAAACCAACACAGATCCTATGGGAAAGAAAGTACACTCAAAAGAGTTTTTCCTACTGTTTCTCCTTCTAGCTCACAAGTATGTCACTCCTTTGCTCTGATTAGGATTAAATATTGTATTGATTCAAGCCAGTTTGTTTCAGATACCATTGTTGGTGCATGTTGTGTGAAACCATGACTTTATTTCATCTCAGTGATATTTATGTGGTATTGTTAATAAAAATCTCTGACTTTAATGTAGTTCAGTGAAAAGTATATAAGAAACTCAAATAACTAACATAATATTTGAAAAGAGTACATTTGGTGTTAATAACTTCTACCCATGGTATTTTATTTTTATTTAGTAGAAATAAAATTCTCTATAACACCTAACCTTTAAAATTTCTGGTATAGACATTAATTCACATGCTTCTCATTATAGTCAGTGAGTGGAATATGCTTGAATCTCCACCCATGACCCGGATAATGTGCCCTGTAATTTCTGTTTTTGCTCTCAGACATGAAACTCATTAGCTTTTGTAGTTTCAGTGCACATGCAATGAACAGAAAAGCATTTAATTATTACAGCCAAAGAGGTGATTTTCTTTTGGGGTAAAAAAGAAACTAAATGAGGTCAGCAAAAGTTTTTTAACGTTGCAATGTAATTGTGCTAAGTACAACAATGCATCGTTCTTTGTATTATTTACTGGATACCCATAAATGATATGTTTTATTTTAACAGGCAATTTGCTGCCAGAAGTATGTTCTCCTTTTAAAAGGTAAGTGCCTTTTAAGATATATTATATAAAATTATCATGGTTTCTGATTTATAGCTTTGAAGAGCCTATTTATTTTAAAGCCCTATAGCTGACAGCTATGTTGTTCCAAGGCAAGGATATATAGTATTAATTATCTTAAGCTCCAGATTATCGTTCATGGTGCTGACTTTAGGTATAAAGGACAAAGTGGGACATTTTTCTATTTTTGTAAGAATAATTAATTAACCTAGTGATTTTAAAAAGAAATACCTGTTGAAGTAAGATACAAAGAACACGGTTCAATTTGATCATATTTGTTTCAGTTCTGTGTGGATTTAGATAATCTTCATGGAAATTATTAGTAATTTAGGGTATGGACACAGTTTTTTTTAAATTGGTTTTATTTGTTATTGGTTTGGTTTATTGGAATCAGAGCATAGCTCAGTCATTTTGAAAGTTTAAAGTGTTTGTGTCTTAAAGATATTGCTTACCAATAAGCCTATATATTTTTATTTGAATATATCTATGTTTTCAATTTTAGTAATACATTAGTTTCATCCATGAGTTATGTTTTAAAGTTGACTTAATCTAGTATTTACATTTTCAAAAATTCTATAAGATTTTAAAGTAAACTTAACAATTAAGTAGAATATGTTTTATACTGCCTTTATGTATCAAGAAATGACCAGATCAAGGTTTTATTTCTCAACTTACCTTTTTCTAAGAACTCACTTAGACAATTAAAATATGAAGGGGTTGTTTAGTTACTGTATACCTAGCATAGAGTCTCTGTTTGTATAAAAAATCCTGGTAGATGTCTTCGAAAGACATCCTTTCACAGCTTCCATGGCAGATATCAATCTCCATTATTGCTCTAGGTTTGAAATCTCACTTGTTTATATTTGTTGGTTGAGAACCATTGCTTTTTCACCTTTATACTTGTGCATTCTGTAGCAAGAGAGACTCGTTGCCTTTGGAGCATTTGAATCCTACTTTTGGTTATAATAGAAAAGGAGCTCTATGTGTAATTATGTAGTTAAGATTAGTAAATTCATAAATTATAACTCTTTCTTCTACTTAATAGTTCTTTACTTACATGGTCATATATCCATGATCAAGTAATGTTTAGTATATTAGCCTGGTATATTAGTATCATGCTAACCATCACGCCATGTTATATACTTAGCAAAGAAATGCATTTTACTGGCACTTTGTACTTTAAAAACAGCACTGTTACTTGTGGTAGAAGCCCATAAAACTATTAAATAAGTGACCACAAAGTATTTTTAAAAGCACAGTTTACAAATATTGCCATATCGTAGCAGGTGTTAACTGGGACAGAATTACAACACAGTTTGGTTTTATAAATTCAATCTTAAACTATGTGAATATATGATCTACAACTTAAGATAGCCAGTGTTTAGACTGCATTGCAGAAAAGCAATCAAGAAAAGTAAAAATTTCAACCATTTACAAACTTTTTACCCCCCTCTAAACAAATGGAGTAAAAAAAACTTAGACTTTGGGGTCACTTAAAACTCATTTGTAGGCTTAATCCTAGCTCTTACTTGCTGTGTGGCCTCAGATAAGCTACTTAACCTCTTTAACACATTTAAGTCCATTTTCAAACTGGTTATAATAATACCTATATTGCAAGACTGCCATAAAGATGCCAGAAGTGATTTGTCAGTTACCTGCTTTCCCCTAAGAGTAAATCTCTTGTCATGTGCATATAGCCTCAGACAAATTCTTTATTGTTCCATCTGATAAAATCGTAACTCTGTGGTGGCTTTTTTTTCTTTACTTATTTTTTCCTTTGTGTACATAAACATTGCTTGAATGTACTAACCTGAGAAGACATTGATATTTTAAAAGTAAAGTATAGGCCGGGCGCTGTGGCTCACGCCTGTAATCCTAGCTCTTAGGAGGCCGAGGCGGGCGGATTGCTCAAGGTCAGGAGTTCAAAACCAGCCTGAGCAAGAGCGAGACCCCGTCTCTACTATAAACAGAAAGAAATTAATTGGCCAACTGATATATATATATAAAAAATTAGCCGGGCATAGTGGCACATGCCTGTAGTCCCAGCTACTCGGGAGGCTGAGGCAGAAGGATCACTCGAGCCCAGGAGTTTGAGGTTGCTGTGAGCTAGGCTGATGCCACGGCACTCACTCTAGCCTGGACAACAAAGTGAGACTCTGTCTCAAAAAAAAAAAAAATAAAAAAAAATAAAAGTAAAGTATATATTGTTAACCTCTGGATATAGATGTTGCATTCCACTGGTGGTATACCCAGGGATTAACCTACCGGAATTTTGTGAACACAAAAGCCACAACTCTCATTTTAATAACTCTTTATGTATCGTAACTACCTCTTGGCTTTCTTGTCCTCCCTTCAGTGCCCCTGCTTAGGACATTTGCTGCCCAGAAATCTAGTCTTCTTCACTAAGTACTGAAGCTTTGAACTAGGGCCCTGTTCTACCTTCTTGTATTACTTTATCTAGGAAATCATGGCCTTCTTACAATCATTTCTCTTCAAACTCTGCTGGGCAATCAGAGAGTTAAATAACTGAAAATGTTTCAATAGCCTTCCTAGGTAGTATTTACATTTTCATGAGCTGTTATAATGGCTTAACCTAAATGCAAGGGAATATGATGATTTCTGTGGCAGGGGGAGTAATTTGAGGCCCAAAGTCTTTCTCAGGAAGTACTATAAACTTTTATAAAAGTAGGGTTGCTTCCTCTCCACGCTTACTATAAAGCTTCTACATACTTGCAAGACTTCATGTTCATATTCTCTTTCTCTCTTTCCTCTCCCTTTCACTGCAGATAGAAAAAAACTTCAAACAGACATAAATTGATATCCAATCCTCTTCCAAAAATTCTAAACACATTATCTATTTTAAATCTCTGTGCTGTTCTCCAACCCCACCCCACTTTTTTTTAGTTTCCTTCAAAACTTAATCTACATTTTTGTGTTTTCCTTGTCACAGATTTTCATAGCCCTTAGGCAAACAATTTTGTTAAGATTGGGAGGCATCATTACTTCTGTGTTTCTGATCAGGAAACTGAGGAAGACGTGACTTGGCCAAAGTCTAGGGAGTGAACATGGGTTAATAATTGAGCTTCTGACACCCAATCCAGCCCAAATATGCTCTTATTCTATCATGTAAAAGCAATTTATATGCTGTTTTTCTTCTATTGGTTTACTCATATGTAAGGAAATAAGAGAAAGAAGAAAGCCAAATAAAATGTCCTACACGTGGTAAAGTGACTCAGCTCTTCAATAAGCCCGACTGTAGGCAGGCTACTTGCCAGAAGAAACCAGTGTTGACAGGGAGCTTGATTTTGGTTTTTTTTACAGCAAAAAAGCCAAAAATGAAAATAGTTTACAAATGATAAATGATACATTCACTTTTAAATAGAATTCTCTGCTTGAATAATGTAATGTATATATGACATTGATAAAGTTCATGAGAAAATAATAGAAGACCCTACATGCCACATTTTGCTGGGCACAGCTAACTAATTCTGGTGACTAAGAAAAAAAGACAGTAGATTCCCCTGGAAACATTTTAATTGATATTTAAATGTCATTCCAAGTGCTGTAATGATAAAGACTTGGAAATCTTTGCTATTTGTTGATTTTTATCTTGAAGTTTTATGTTGATTTATTTTCTATTCTTACTGAAAAGTTACTACTACATTCCAGTGCTTCCAGAAAATATCTTTCTTTACCTCACCCTCTTATCTATATGAGTCTAAATTTCCTGTGGTTTACCTCACTCTTTTAGAGTCAAAATGTTCTAATTATACCTATCATAAAACAATTTCTTCCCCAGTCAGACCTATGGATATTTCATTTTTGTTTTTCATTTGCTTCTTGATTGTTTTGAATATTAATCCTATATTAATTTGCATAAATTCATACACAGTGATGTTAAAATGAAAATAAGGGTGGGGTCATTCTTGAGGTAACCTTTCATGCACTGAGTTTATCTGGGCTTATAGATTAGAAGTTGGATAGGCGTGTCTATTGTGAGGATTGCAAAGATACTGTTAGGCCGCAGAAATGTACAGCCCGTGTGGGGGAGAGACGACCGCTCAAAAAGACTCAGAGTCCAGAGACTTGATGCAAGAGCAAGAGGATTTATTTCCAGCGCAGCGCAGGGGTGAGCAGCACCACCGAGCTAGGGAAGCTGCCGCGCCGACCTTTTTTTTCCTTAGGATTTTATAGGCAGAAACCACACGCAGGTGGCTAGGGATCACAGGGTGGGGGGAAATTCCATGGGCTTTGACCTTGCACAAACATGTACCAGATGGCTAATATCGGGAACTTCTAATCTTGGTCAATAAATTCCAAGGACTAACGGCAAGCGGTTTTTGGGAAGCTACAGAGTGGCGCCAGCGGGGGAAGGGAGTAGGGTTGAGCGAGCGGATTTTACAGAAGCAGAACGGCGGGTTAGATTTTTCTCCACAATACGAGAGGCACTCAAATCTAAAGTTTTAACACTTCTGCATATTTTATTTTTTATCATAAGACTTTTCCTAAAAGACTGAAAAATCCAGAAAATTCTGCTCTTTACATCTAGAATACTTCTTTCTTGTGCACACTTTTAAAAACCTATAGCATGGCCAGGCATGGTGGCTCATGCCTGTAATCCTATCACTTTGGGAGGCTGAGACAGGAGAATCACTTGAGCCTAGAAGTTCAAGATCAGCCTGGGCAACATACTGATACCCCCTCTCTACAAAAAATAGAAAACTTAGCCATGCATAGTGGTGTGTGCCTGTTTGTTCCAGCTACTTGGGAGGCTGAGGCAGAAGGATCGCCTGAGCCCAGGAGTTTAAGGTTGCTGTGGGCTGTGGTGACGCCAGTGCACTCTTACCAGGCAACAGAGCAAGATCCTGTTTCAAACAGACAGACAGACAAAGAAACCAAAAGATAACAAAACTTGAATCATAAAATAAAATGTACAAGAGTAAGCTTCTTTTTCTGTAAGGACATGTTCATTGTGGAAACAG